CTTTCAACTGATTCAATGAAGCCCAACCATATTATAGACTGTAATCTCCTTTATTTAAAGCCAACTGGCTATAGATGTTAACCACGTCTACAAAATACCTCCGTAGCTACACCTGGATTAGTGTTTGATTAAATAACTGGGTATTATAACTTAACCAAATTGACACATAGAGCTAACCATCACTTTCCTTTATGGGTGTTGATGGGGAATTACAGGGAGAAGTCAGTCTGATCCAGTGGCATTTTCCCCAGAGTCCTAGGCAAGTGTTGGGGAGGTCCGGGCCAGGGACTGGGGATGGCAGAGCCATTCTGTGAACTTGCCATTAAGAGGGCGTCCTAGGTCACGCTTATCCCACCGGGTCCAGATTTCATTGCCTTCCTTTGGAGAGGCTCTGCCTTGCTTCTGCTTACGTGAGAGCTCCAGTTAAGACCCAGTATCTTTTCATGGGGTAGAAACTTGGAAGGGGCAAAAGACAGCTCTTCAAGGGGGAATAAGACATCAAGTGGGGACAGCGTCTTCTGTCCTTTGTACCCCAGGGCTAGGAGCACCGGTCCTTGGAGAAGTGCCACTTGGTTCCTTTCCCAGGTAGATACCTGAAATATTCTGGGCACGTAGAAACCAGTCCTGCTTTTAAAAATTCTTCCCACGGGGGAATTTATGAGGTTAGGAACAGTACTTCTCAATCTAGAGAGCTCTTTTAATATATAATCAAAACTCCTCCGATTTCAGGAACAACTCTACTATTAAGGATAACAGAAATGAGAATATTAGACTTCAGAAATTTTTTTATTTCTTTAGAGTTTTAAACAACCATAGCCATCTTGCTGCTGTCTGTGATGAAGGCACACCCAAAGGACAGAAACCCCAAGAAGCTGAAAGAACCATGCAGGCATTAAGATTGCGCTTCCCTTACCCCTGAGATCACTCCTGATCTTGTCTTTTGCACAGTTTGTCAACTCCAACTCTATCCTTTACAAAGTGTTTCCTTAGACTCAAAGTGTGAAGGGTAAAGCTTGAAGTGGATGGCTGAGGGAGGCTGTGAAATCATTCTCCTTGCAAGTCTTTTAAAGGACGTTTCTAGATCAAGTCTTGCTCAAAGGTAGAGGATGGACCGGCTGGTTTCTCCCTCCCAACCCTGAGATTCCAAGGAAGCTGTAAGAATTATCTCCTTTTAAGGGGTTTCCTCTTTCATCTGAAGGTTCTGGGGAGACAATAGGGTGCTGCCTGGCACAGCAAGGGTTGGGTGGGGCCGCTCTGCTGCTGAATCAAGGGAGGCTTCCAGGAGGGGAACGGCTTTGAGATGCCTCGTGAAAGAAGCCTGGGAGGAGGTTCTTGGCTGGTAGGTGGCGTGGGAAGAAGGGACTCAATGGGGGCTGGTTGGCAGGGCAGGCTGAGTCTGAAGAGGCCAAATTTACCTTCACTCCATAAAAGTCCTTCTCTGGAAATCATATGTGCCAGATCCTTTTACCTCTTAAACTTTACAAGGCAGCAAATTCCACCATTTTTTGGTGGAAGTCAGACAAATTCCACCATTACTTTGAGACCACCCACCAAGCCACCCAGCCATTGATGTAGCCATCCATCATCCCTCCATACACTCACCCATCATTCCCACATGCAGACCAGAGGGGGAACAGAATGTGATGGGAGGCGAGGGGATGCAAGGGATCCCTTCCTTTCAAGGTCTTTAAACACGAAGAGTTCCTTCCTCCTCCACCCACAGTAGTGGATAGAATGGCCTTTGGAGACTTTTTGCCCCTTTGTAAAGGCTCTGAGGGCCTTTCGGAAATGCCCTTTTATGGAAGCTGTGTAACTGGATTTGGAGTTGGAAAGGGCTGAACCCCAGCAGAAGGGGTTGAGTGCCCTTAGGCCTCTTGGTGGGCACAAACAGCAGAGCTGCAGGGAGGACTTGGGGAGCTCTCGGAGCGATCACTTTCCCATGGAGGGTCCTCCTAGACCTCAGCTCTCCCATGGATAGAAATCTTCATTCTTTAGTTCAGCCCTAGGGGGACTGGTGGGCCTGGGGGTGGCTGGAGTGAGGGTTGGAACCAGCTCTGGAAGGTCAATGCTTCCCTGAGAAGGGCTGCTTTCCCTGAGAAGGACTTTAACCCTTGCATTCTGGGGATCCTTAGATACCATCCACCAGGCATTTGGCGGGAGCCTCCCTCAACAAAGGCAAGAGTCTGGAGTCCCAGTCTGGAAGGACTGAAAGGCCAGTCAACCAGCTTCAGTTGAAAATTCAACAGAACTATCTTCCTAGTCAGGTCTGGCTGGGGAGGATGCTACTGTGCAGGAAGTGGGCGAACACAGCTGGTCCTGGGCTCTCCCTCCTCTGGGCAGCCCAAGCCCCTCACACAGATTTCTTTCACTCCCATTCACACCAAGTTCAAATGATTGAATCACTGGTCTGTTTTCCAGTGGACTATGAGCACCCCAATGGCGACATCTGGGGCTTACTCAAACCTGCATGATCAGTCACTGTTAAAGCAGGACACAGGGTAGGAGAGTAAAGCAGGAGGTGTGAATGAGTGAGAAACAACATCTGGTGGTCTGAATTAGATGCTGGTGAGTAGGACAGATGAGTGCTCCGGGGCTCTGGAAGAGGCGCCATCCCTGCGGGCAATGTCAGAGGGAGAGATGAACTAACCTCATCTTCCTTGAAATCTCCGGAGCCTGTTTGCCTCTGGCAGGACAACCAAGCATGGCGTTCTCCAGCACCCATCTCTCTATCTTCACTCTTACAACCTACTTATCTATCTAGCTCACGCACCAACCCCCTGTGTCATGCTGGGGGGCTCACAAGGCTCAGGAGGACCCATTGTGTGTTTCTTCCCTGCTGCTTGGAAATTGGCCAGGTGAGAGAAATTGGCCAACCCTGCAAAACAGTGTTTTTCCACCCCAGAAGATCCAGTTGCTAAACTTTTATCAGCATACCCTTGCAATTCACTCATCTACCTGACATCTATTCATCTCTTTCCTTCATTTCTCTTCCTTTTTTCCCTCTGACTTATTTTGTTTCTTCTCTTCCTTCCTCCTCTCCCTCCCCCTTTTTTCAATTATTTTCAATTCACCAAGTACCTACTCATCCATTCACCAGTCCGTCCGTCCATCCATCCACCCACCCACCCACTAATGTTTTCCTTTGAGTATCTACTCTATGTTGGCCAGTTCCTAAGGCTCAGGACTTTTCTCCAGACTTCTGGAAGGTAGGTGCATGAGCTTTAAGGACAAGGAGAGGCCTCAGAGTGTAGCACCTCAGCCATCATTGATGTTGGATCCATAACCAAAACTTTGGTTTTCTTCTCCTGCCCTTTCTTGCCCTCCCTGCTCTTATCTCCTCATAGCTGGTTTGCACGGACTAGGGGAGACTTCTCAGGAGATGAGGGAGGACTTGTCTCCATCCAACAGACAAGCTACCTACCTCTCCTTCCAGGCCTCAGGCAAGAGTCCAGGGAAACTGGGCCTGAGAAAGGATTCTCCTCACAGAAGACCCTGTGAACACCTAGCCAATTTACCAGTGTATTCAAGCAAGAGAGGGCCGTGGGGCCTGAGAACAGAGACATCAGTTAAAAGGGAATCCCCAACTTGAAGCCAGCATGCTCCATCCCCAACACCACCCCATGCACCTTCTCTTAAAACTTTGTCTGCTTTGTGACCCAAGCTTGTGTCTGCTCATTTCCCGGGGGCTGATATTACCAAGAATTTGCCTGGTGAGCCAAAGGGGTGGGGGCTCTCAGACCTGGACCTGGGTTGGAGGCCAAGGAAGGGAAACCCACTCCCCTACACACAGTCCAGAACCTGCCACCCGGTCACACCTACCTTCTGTTCTACCCCTTGAGTTCTACCCCTGTACCTGGTGGGAGGTGTTGGCTTTGTGGGATTGCAGCAGTGGCTCACCCCGGAGGTGGCTTGTCCTGCACGAGCTGAGGGTCTCCCTATTTCCTGCAGGTCAGAGAGAAGAAGCAACCGGCATAGTTTTTCTCACTTTTCTCCCCAGGTTTGTATTTACACGACAGTCATTCTTGAACAGCTGACTTTGGAGATTATCAGAGTTCTGCACTTCACTAACATCTTTTGGAGGTGTATTGACTGTTGCCTGCTCAGAGAGGGTGGACAGGTTTTTTTCTGAGTCACACAGCAAATCTACTGTGGAGGCAGGTGTGAGTGAAGTGTTTGGAGCCTGAGGGCTCAGCCTCCTGGGTCGTCACTGCTTGGATTCCCCTCCCTCTGTTTCTCTGCTCTTTGGATCCAAGCAGGTTCTGGCCTGCTCTGACAGATTACCTAAAGGCTGTGTGCCTCTTGTGAAGGCTGATGGGACAGACAAAACTTCTAGAAACCTTCTTCTGGTGAGATATTCAAGTGGCTCCCTGACACCCAAGCTGGAAAGGAAATATGAGCACTTCAAAGACCTCGGGGTTCAAATTTCAGCACTGCTTTGCCTTTTGACCTAGGCTGAGGAGCAGTCTTCTTAGAGCTTCCTTTTCCCTTCTATTAAATAGGGATAATTGATTGTCATGAGGTTAAATGGGCTCCAGTATATAAAGTTGGTAAGTAGGTTTCAATAATCAGTAGCCACTTCACTCCAAATCCTAAAATCCAAATCTAACTGGACCCATTCTTCCCCTTAAGTGACAAGCAGCCGCACTGTCTCGGGACAGGGAATCTCTCCTCCAAAACCCAGGCCCACAAATTACAAGGCTTATTTGGCTTGTGTGACCCAATTAATAGCCCCGTAGGCCTCTGTGAACACCTCACCGTTGGCCTCAGGAGTCAGCGAAGCCTGCCCACCGGTGAGGACAGAGGCTCACCGCCTCCCTGACCAGAAGAAAGTGCGTCAGATGGAAGCAGCCCAACTGGTTGCTGAGCTGTGGAAAATAATTAAACTGGGGGAGAAAAAAACACTTCTTTAAAAAAATCAGGTTAGGTATGAATGTGCAGGGCGTGGCCCCTGTATAATTAGCCGCTCTGCTGGCTCGGGGAGCCGCCTGCTTCTCCCTGGGCCCGTTGTGTCAGGCCTGTGCCTGCCAGCCCTCCTCTCCCTCCTCCTGGGGCTCCTCCCTGTTCCCTGTAGGTGTGTCTCTGGGCTCGGTGGCTGCTTACCCCACTCCCTGCCGAGACACCCAGTGGAGAGGTCACCCACTGCACAGCCCCGGTGCCCACAACCCACCAGCCCAGTGACCCACCATGGAAGCTGCAGATGCCTCCAAGAGCAACGGGGCCAGCCCGGAAGCCAGGGATGCCCGCAGCCCGCCTGGCTCCAATGGCAGCCTGGAGAATGGGACCAAGGTTGAAGTCAAAGAAACCAAGACCACCAACGGGCATGGAGGGGAGGCAGTTGAGGGCAAGAGCCTGGGCAGTGCCCTGAAGTCTGGGGAGGGCAAGAGTGCTCTGTTCTCAGGGAACGAGTGGCGGCGGCCCATCATCCAGTTTGTCGAGTCTGTGGACGACAAGAGCTCCAACTACTTCAGCATGGACTCCGGGGAGGGCAAGAGGTCACCCTACGCTGGGCTCCAGCTGGGCGCTGCCAAGAAGCCGCCCGTCACCTTTGCTGAAAAGGGGGATCTACGCAAGTCCATCTTCTCAGAGTCCCGGAAGCCCACGGTGTCCATCGTGGAACCTGGAGAGACCCGGCGGAACAGCTACCCCCGGGCCGACACGGGGGGCATCCTCCTGCGCCCCAAGTCAGGCTCGGAGGAGGTCCTGTGCGACTCCTGCATCGGCAACAAGCAGAAGGCTGTCAAGTCCTGCCTGGTGTGCCAGGCCTCCTTCTGCGACCTGCACCTCAAGCCCCACCTGGAGGGCGCTGCCTTCAGGGACCACCAGCTGCTCGAGCCCATCCGGGACTTCGAGGCCCGCAAGTGCCCCCTGCATGGCAAGACCATGGAGCTCTTCTGCCAGACCGACCAGACCTGCATCTGCTACCTGTGCATGTTCCAGGAGCACAAGAATCACAGCACAGTGACAGTGGAGGAGGCCAAGGCCGAGAAGGAGGTAACTGGCCCCGCTGCATCCCAGGCCTTTATGTCCAGTCATGTCCCTCCTACCTGATCTTCTCCACTGGGGCTTCCTAGTGTCGGGGGCTTAAGTCAACTCCCCTCTCCTGGCCCTTTTGCACCCCTGTGCTAGGGATCAGATCGCCGGTTCCCCGATCCCCTAAGGCCTCAGGAGACAGAGGAATTTCCTAATTGAGCAAATAGAGGCCCTGGAGAGAGCATGGGCTAGACCAAGGTCACAGGATAAATTCAAGTCAGATCAGAGAATCGGCACCCATGCCTAGGTGCTGTGCCTGACTGCGATGTTTCTTCTTTTTATTTTTCAAAATCTTTTTTTCCTGGCTTCAGAATTTGCATTTGCAGTTTGGTGGCTCCTTGTTCTAACTGACTCTCTTTCCCCCACAACCCACCCGCCCCCCACCCCCCCGCCCCAACTGGTTTCTTGACTCTCCAAAGACCTCCTTTATCCTTCTCCGAGCTGGGCCCAGTGTGCTCTGGGTATGTGGTTGCGAGTGGACGTGCCTGTGCCTGTAGGAGGACACTTTGGGTGAAGGTTGGTTTTGTGTGTGGGTGGGGGGAGGTCCGTCTATGTATGTGTGTGCGTTTACATGCATGTGGGTGTTTATGTGCGTATGTGGGTGCTTGCATATATCTGTAGAGGTGACACATGTGTTTGCATAAGTCCTGTATGTGTGATGCTGCTGCACTTCTCTGGGGAGGAGCAGGGGTGGGGGGAGGCTTGTGAATGGGGTACACCTGGGCTAGGTGTTCTAGACTCAGCTGTGGCAGCTGCCCCTTGCCCTACAGATGCTGGGCACATTCTCTCCCATGGTTACCATGCGTGGTTTCCCATCGGGGACTTGGCTTTCCTCAGAAGGGGAGCAAGCAGAACCCCCTCCCCACCTAGCCTTCCCGACCAGGACTTTGTTGATTGCGGTCTCCCTGTACCCCATTCCTATACCCCTAAATAAAGAGGGATAAGTTAAAGATGGGGCCTCTTGAAGATTCTTTTCAGAACCCTCATTTGGCCCAGGAAGGTGATGCCCCCAGATGCTACTCCTCGACCCCTGCCTTACTTCAAGCCTAATACTGGGAGCTAGAGATGGGGCAGGGACTTTGCGAGCTTACTTGGGAAATCCAAACAGAACAAGGAGTAATCATCTTCACCCACTGCACCAAGAGATGACAGAGCCTCAGACCGGGCTCTAAGAGCCCCAATGGAGTTCCAGTCCTGGCTTCTGTCTTGAGCTAGCTTAGCTATAAGACTGGCAAAGAGTCCCTTCCGTGTTCTTCCTATATGTGAAACTAAGGGGTTGAACTACACTGAGGGGTTTCAAATGACCCTCCTGAAGTTCTAGGATTCTTGAATTGCCTTCCAGGAGGAGGGGGCAAAAGGTGTCAAGAAGGCCAGGGCTCCAGTTCTCACTTCCATGGCAACCAACACACTTACCAGTCTGTTCTATAGGCAAGGTTTCACCCCCAGTTTCAGCTGAGACAAGTGTATCACCACTGAGAATAGCCTGAGTGCCCCTGCAGAGGCCAGGCTGATCTTCTGGACATACAGAAGGCCCTCAGACAGCCCTCTTCAGGGGCAGCAGGAGCTCAGAGTTCATGTTCTGATCCTGGGGGCCACTGTAGGACTCAGCGATAGAGCGCTGGCCTTTGCGGGCACACGATGTAGGTCAAGAGGCAGAGCTCGGACACACAAACAACCTGGAAGCATCCACCCAGTTACTCCGTGGCTGTAGGTAAACACCACATGGGAGAGGACAGAATTCAGGCTGGATCGGAGATGAGCAATCTATTTGGGGAAGGGCATTGAGGAAGGGCATTGGGGAAGGACATCGAGAGGAAAGGGGCGGAGGGTACGTGTGCTTTAATGGTGCTTTCAGGGGAAACTGATCCACGGAAGTAACCTTAACAGCAGGAACTGCGTGCAGCATGCATGTGTGCATGTTTGTGTGTGTGCATTTGTGTGCATGCATGTGCGTGTGCCAGCAGCACAGAGGAGGCAGGCTGGAGTGTTACCGGGTGGCCAGGAGGCTGAGATGGAGCATTTGTCTGAGCCTGGCTCAGTGGAATGTCAGATGTGGGGGGCATTAGCACATGGCAGGGGGAGTGGGTTGATGGATCAAAGTGAACAAATGTGTCAATCTTGGCATCCTCTGGAGGTGTTCCCTGAACCCCAAACATCAGCCCACACACAGCTTTTTGCAAGGAGCCCGTCCGGAACCTGTTCTGCAGGCTGACTGGTGAGGTAACTGCAGACCTGAGTTGGTGAGTTGTGCGAGGCTATAGATGACACCCAGAGCTGTGGGTGCGCCTCTCCTGGGCCCCAGTCCTACCAGAGATGCCGAGCGGAGGCAGGGTGGGAGAAAGACAAATTGATGTGGCAATAGGACAGACTTTCTAGGGGACCCAGGTCAGGATGTTTCCAGTTCCACTCCAGATGTCCTAAGGGGTTCCGCAGATTTCCTCTGGTCCACAACCCCCTCCCCAACATGGATATTTCCTAGTCTGGATTAGGCTGATGAGATCAAAATACACATATTCATCCTGTTCTGTGCCTCGTGGCCCTTCTATTTCCTAAGTCCTACCCACTGCAGTGGGTCAGGCTGGAGGACCTCGGCCACTGGCCCGGGCTGGGCTCTGCCTGGGATCTGGGTTGGCAGCCTGGCCAGGTGAGTGTGGGCCGCGCTCAGCTAAGCATCACCATGGAGTCCCGGTGCCTGTGTCAACCTCCCATTTCCATTGTCTGAGTCAGCTGGCTTCTCTCACCATGCCCCGAGACTTTCTCATCTCGTTGCCCAATTTGTCCATGGAGCTGCCTGAGCTCCAGGCTGCTGGGCCTTGAGCTTCCAAACAGGGCTGGGCTGGGCAGGAAGACACTGTGTGACAGAGATGACTGGGTTGGAGAAGAGGAACCTGGAAAAGACCTGGGGTCTGGCAGAGGGGGCTGGGGTCACACTCCCCAGAGATCTTGTGGGAGGACTGCTGCCCTGGACAGGGTGTGTGAGAAAGGAGGTGGGATGGCCTCAGCGATGTTAAGAGGGAAAGAAACAAATGAAAGGTTTAGATGGAGGAAGCAGGGAGGGAGCACTACAGCAGGCTGTATGCCAGGCCCTGGTCAGTCCTCCAACAGCCCCTGAGGGTGGGGTTTCCACACCTGTTTTAGGAAGAAATCAGCTCAAAGATGCCAAGCAGCTTACGAAAGTATGGTGCTGGCATTGAGGCCGAGGCCTCCATCTTAAACTTGGCTTCCATGGGAGGGGCAGGCTCTCCCTCGGGTCACTGAGTCCAGTGGCTCCAAGCCGTGTCCTTAGGCCCCAGTTGCCAGGTGAATTGTTAAAAGTGATTCCAGGCCTTATCTCAGGAGCTTCTGTCTCAAGTTGTCTGGGTCTGGGGCCTGTTTTAAACCTTCCTCGGGTATTCTAGTGTGTAGCCAGGGTGGGAACCAGGGAGCTAGCTCCATTTCACGTCACTCGGGGAGGTGAGTGACTTCTTTTTTTTTTAAATTTTTTTTTTTTAATAGAGGCATGTTTATTTATTTATTTGTTTGTTTGTTTGTTTGTTTGTTCTGTTTACACATGTACTGGGTACAGTCAGAAGCGCGGGAGGGTGAGAGAATTCACCAGAGCCAGAGCGGGGAGCAGAGCAGGCAGAAGGACCGAAGTACACTGCTGAGGGGAGCAGCGGGCGGCAGGAGAGGTCTGTGCGCCATGTGGGACCCTCCTCCGGTGGCCGGGGAGCAGCCGGGGATTGAACCGGCGCTGCAGAGGCTGAGGGCAGCTTCGCAACCCAGCGCTCAACCGCTGCGCCACCGGGGAGGCCCAATGTGAGTGACTTCTTCAAGGACCCACTGCTGGTCTGGAGATGGCCTGGTCATGCTCTCCCCACCCCAACATGCCCCGTCCCTGCCCCTACACCAGAGGAAGCAGAAGGAACATTAGTCCCTAATCAAGCGGACTAAAATTGGACTGTTTGACGTCTAGGTGGAAATGGAGAAATCTATCTGGCCTTTCAGATTCTTATCCAGATAATTACCATTTGTCTGAGAGTACAAATTTGGCAATTAACAGGCTCATTTGGCAAATGTCACAGCCAAGGGCCCAAACGGTTTGCTCAGGCTGGGGAAGCTCAGCGCCCATCTCTCCTCTCCGGGGGGCAGTTTGGGTGCATGAGTCCTGGGGGTGCTCTGGCCTGTCTGCACCTGGCCCTGTCCAGGTTGAGCCACCACCAGTTGCTATGCCACGCTCTCAGGGGAAACCTCTGCTCCCCCAAGACCGGAAGGATTTCCAGGCTGGGTGGCCTATGCGGGGCCTGGCCTGGGTAGCAGAGTGAGAGACAGCCAGACGAGTGGGAGAGGGAACAAAGGAGGCATTTAGGAACAGGCCTGGGCAGGGTGAAGGGAATGAAACTGGGAGTAGGAGGAAGTCAGGAGGGAGGTGTAGACAGGGGTGGAGCGGTGGAAAGCTGAGACCCTAACCAGACATTGGTGGCTTTAATCAGATTCCAAGAGGAGAGAGGGAAAGAGGAAGTTGGAGTCCCAGGGGGTGACCAGGAGGGTTTGGGGACTGAGAGCGGGGGAGGGTGACAGGGAAAGAGGTGGAATCAACAAATTGCTCTGTTTGGGAAGCTGGGAGGGGCAGCTGGATGGGAGTGAAGGGAAGACCTGGGAGGTACAGGGAGCATTATGAGGGTAAGAAGCCAGGAAATAGGACCTGAGTCCTTTGGTTGCCTCTTGGGCTTCTCAATTTCCAGCTGTGAAGACTCAGACAAGCTCCATTATCCTTCTAAGCCTTGGTTTCTTCATCTGCAAAATGGGGGTGGCACCACTTACCTCCACAGGGGCTTTTGAGGATGAAAGGAAAAATACCGGGCACATAGTAGATGCTCAAAAATATAGGTTAGTGTCCTTCCTTCTCCTGATGTTGCAAAAGAATCCAGTGTCTGTGGAGACACTCTGTTTCCTATATCCTGCCTTTTCCAGTTTTGAGTAAACCTGCCAGCTGGGAAAAATTGCCAGGAGCTAAATAGATGCTGATGGTCATTCTCCTAGCAGGTGTGAAAGGCCATTCCAGCAGAACAAAGTTCCCAGCGCAAGGTGCTTTCCAAGATCCAGCTGCATCCTGCGAGTCTGGTCTTGCAAGGCAAGCCTTGGGACCAGGCCCCCTCCCAGCCAGACCCAGCTGTCCAGTCGCAGCCAGTGCAATTTCCCTAGTGCCCCAAAGAGTTAAGGAGGCCCAGTCTCTCCTCCGCCCACTGCTGCAGACAGCTCGGCTCCACTTTTGACCCTGCCCTTTCTGTCCCAGATCAGCCTCTTCCGTCTTCCCCTCCCAGGTCACGCTGACATCTCTGGCTCTCCTCTCCACACCTCTGCTGGCACCCCTGCTCCCTCCCTCTCACAGGTTAGACACCCAGGGGCTGACCCACTTGCCCTTGGCCTAGGTTCCGCATTGCTCTAAACCCGATTCTTCTTCCTCTGTGCATTGTGCCTTTTGACAACCGGCTGCTCACCAGCCTTTTTTGCAGAGACCAGGTCAAATCTCTTTCCTCATTTCCTTTTATCACTTTCCTCTTGACAAGAATTTCCCATCTCTAGCAACGGCCATTTTCCAGGCTGTGGGATTTCCACTGACAGATTGGATGCTTCTGAGAATGGAGTGTCTTCTTACTAGAGAGTCCAGGAGTGTGGCAGAGGCAGAATGGAATCAAGAGTTTTCTGTAGGGGCTCTGCAACACCTCCCCAGGCTCCCCCACCTTCCACTTCCTCCATGATTCTCTTCTTCAGGCCCAGCTTTTCCAAAAAATTCAGGGAAATTCTCTCTAGCATCAACCCACTTCTCTGGGCATTTCCCGTGGCACCCATCAGCCCCCTTGGTCTGGTGGAGCTTTTGGAAGGTGTAACATCCCATCTGGCCAAGTTCTGTGACCGGTGCTCCAGACTCGCTGCCAACGGGGCTCACATTCCTAGTGGTTTGTGGTTTCTGCATCTTGACTATTCTTGTGGGTTCTTCAAAGAGTACTGGAGAAAGGGGTGGGACTCTGCCTTCAAAACCACTGTAGCAGAGACATCTCGAGCCCCTAAGTCTTTCTCAGATGCCTTGGTCTCCCAGCCTCTCAGGTGGTGATCACCCACCTGTCTTTGACGGCCTAGAGGGGAGCCCAGCACAACAAAAGAGGTGGCACTTGAGTGGGCTGAGTTGGATTGGCCTCAGTTTGCTGCCTCCCCTCTTGTCTCTGTGGTAGCTGCTTTTCAGAGATGGACCTGTCCCCAAATGGAAGGAAAGTGTGGGTGTGAGAGCTCACTGCCCAGTGCACTCCTGACAGATCCCCTCCCCAACCCAACCTGGACCCCGAAAACCCATGTCCTTCCCCTAAAACCTCTCCTCTCCTCTCTTCTCTCACTTTCACTGTCTTACTCCCCACTTTGACCCCGCCAAGGGACCCTAAATAAAAGTCCTTCTTTTACCCAAGCTGGTGACTGCATTCCCTTCCCTATAAACAGGTTATAGCTGTGCCTGTCCAGACGGAGTCCCTGCCGGAGGCAACCCAAGCTCCTGTTTGCAACACAGGCTTCACGTCATGCCATAGAAACCTTGCACACTGTTACTGCCGTGGGACACTCCCTAGGCTGGGTCCTCTTCCTCCCCTTAGCTTGAAAGAGGCAGGAGCCTCCCTCCCTCTCCCCAGTAGCCCCAGGTCTACTGAAAAGAGTGAGAACACCATAAACGCGCTTCCCTCCTGCTCAGGCTGGGTGCAGGAGATTGCGGATGCTGACCCCTTATAAAGACACGGCTGGGATGGCCAGTCCCAGAGGCCCAAGTTCACAGCAAGATGCTGTTTGACTCGTTGCTGGGTGCTTGGTGACTGGCAAGAGGCCTGCCCTAGCCTCAGTCTCAGTGCCCGTTTGCTGAGTGAAGGCCTGAATGGATGAGTGGTGAACTCTGCCCAAGCTTGCTCCCTGGGTGGACCGACTCCCTGGATCTCTGGTTCTCTTCCACAACCTCCCTGTGACTTTTCTTCCATCCTGGCCTCTTCCCTGCAGACAGAACTGTCCCTGCAAAAGGAGCAGCTGCAGCTCAAGATCATTGAGATTGAGGATGAAGCCGAGAAGTGGCAGAAGGAGAAGGACCGCATCAAGGTGCACCACTGCCCCGCTGGGTTCTCATCCCACCATCGTGCCTGGGAGGAGCCTGACCTTGGCTTCTGTCTAATGCATTGGTCTATGTTTACACCCTACACTCATTTCTTCTGGGTTCCCCTGCTCCCAGTGGTTTTCCCATTAATTCCCCTGCTAAACCTGGGCCAGGCATCCAGGGGGGATCTTGTTCCCTACCTAATGCTCTTTTCACATCATCCCCGGAAATAAAGACCTTAGACTGACCTGTCCTCCATTCTGTGTTCCAATGTCCTTCAGGACTGCTCTGCCTGCCAGACTGCCCAGCCACCGCGTGCATGCCCTTTCTAATTCGCTGATGCCTGTGTGGCAAGGTGGATGTCTGCCCTAGTTTGAGTAATTACAAACCACACTCTGAAATCACTGATTCTTGATCTTGGCCATCTTCACAGCCTGTCAATTCATTTTCTGAAGTTGGTTCTGGTTGAGATTTCAGTGGACACATCCTGATTCACAGGGGAAATTTCTGGGCCCGGAGGGAGTCACCTAAGGGTGGAATGTGGGCTCATGTCAACTCACCAAGGGGAAAGAGCTATAGATGATAAGGAAGGGTGGGCTGGCCATGGGTATTAGTAGACAGCATCCTCCATTGATGCCTTTGAGTTAGATTCTTGGACAATAGGCTTCTTGGGTTGGGGCAATAGAAATGCCTTGGCTCTATGCTATGATCTGAAGAGGCTCCTTGTTAGGAAGACTTTCTGATTACTGAAACCATCCTCTCCCTCTGCCCTGCTCTGGACCTAGAGCTTCACCACCAATGAGAAGGCCATCCTGGAACAGAACTTCCGGGACCTGGTCCGGGACCTGGAGAAGCAGAAGGAGGAAGTGAGGGCTGCATTGGAGCAGCGGGAGCAGGATGCTGTGGACCAAGTGAAGGTGATTGTGGATGCTTTGGATGAGAGGGCCAAGGTGCTACATGAGGACAAGCAGACTCGGGAGCAGCTGCACAGCATCAGTGATTCGGTGCTGTTTCTGCAGGTAAGAAGCCGTTCTTCAGCCATTCGGTCTCTCAGTCCTATCCATTTCCCCAGGCCCTCAGTCAGCATCCTTCCCTGTGCCCATCCATCCACCCACCCACCCACCCACTCACCCATTCATCTATCCAAGCTCCATTACATCTGTCCACGTAATTCTTCTGTCCAAGCCGTCTCTCTGTCTACTTTAAAGATGGCACTCAAATATCACTTTGTACCAACGTCAACTGGTATGTGCTAACAGTGCTCCCGGCTTAGTAGGAAAGACTTCTGTGATTGATCAGTGTTGCCTGCTGTGGGAATGGGAATGGAGTGGCATATGAGTGCTGCATATTTGTCATCTTTGATGTTGTCTGTGTATACATCCACGGTTCCATCTGCTAGGGTTTTTGGGAACTACTGCAAACCCACTACTTGATTAGGTGCTGGGGAGAACAGGGAAGCGTGAGACATGATTTTTGCCCCCAAGGAGCTGCAAACCAGCTGGGAAGATAAGACATGCACAATTAGAGAACAATCTAGGAGAGGGTGTAATTAAATGATAAAGCATGTGGTTCAGGAGATAAGAACTCATGGAGACTCTGAGAAGGACAAGAGGGCTGAAGTCATCTGAGACAGCTTTGTGGAGGAGGTGGAATTCAAACTGGACCTTGAAGCCTATTAGGATTCGAGGAGGAGGGATTTTCCAGTGAGGGAGAAGGGAGGTGAGGAATACAAAGGGTAGGTACAGGATTGAGTATGTAAAGGTAGAGACACCACCAGGCCTACCCAGAACACAAAACTAATTCCGCCCACTTCTCTAGCGCTCCCCAAGACCTCACAACCTAGAGGTAGGTGTGATGGACTCTGCTTTAGGGGTCTAATCCTGGCATCCCATGATGGTTCCATGGAGCTAGACTCTGTGGACCCTTTGCAAAGCGGGGGCCCCTTGACTCCTAAAGACCCAGGAATTTAGTGGCTTCTTTCCTTTCTTGTTAGGAATTTGGTGCATTGATGAGCAATTACTCCCTCCCCCCTGCCCTACCCAGCTACCATGTTCTGCTGGAGGGGGAGGGCCTGGGACAGTCGCTGGGCAACTTCAAGGACGACCTGCTCAATGTGTGCATGCGCCACGTTGAGAAGATGTGCAAGGCAGACCTGAGCCGTAACTTCATCGAGAGGAACCACATGGAGAACGGTAAGTCTCCTCTGGCAGCCAGCCCCCAAGGCTGTGGGCATTTTTCGCCCGGTTCCTTTCCTGTTGCCTGGTGTGGACTACTGGAATCCAGCTGGCCCCTCATTGTACTCAGCCACCCATTCCACCTAAGAGCTTGGACTAGGATTCAAGAATTGTCCTCTTGCCCCCACCCCCACTGAACTTGCTGCCAAAATTATGCAGCTATTACAAGGGGGGCCAGAGCTGGCAGCATCAGGGACACAGGCTACACAAATGCCCCCTCTTGGTGGGTGGTCTGCCAAGCTCAGGGATGGGTTTCTTTCAGATCTGCATCTTATGGTGGGGCCAAACCCAGTAGCTTGCAGACACTATTGCTTATAAGGTTCAGGTGCCAAACCAGTGGGTTTGTAGACTCCAGTAGACTTGACTTTGAACTGCTTCCAGGCTTGGAGTGAGAAATTGCCTGTCACCATGAACAGCATTGAACCCAGAGGCTTGGGCTGGACTTGGCCTGGTGGACCAGGTTGGGGACAATAGGATGTGGAGTGTCTTGGTGACTTACCAACACCCTGAAGTCAGCTTTTTTTCTGAGTCATGCTATCCCCCTCCAGGGACCAACTGAATCATCTAGCAGAAAGCCTCCTAACCTGAGACACTACCCCGTTAATTCCAACCAATCCCATCAATCCCAGTCCAGTGCCTTTAGGGCCTGAAGCCCCACCCTGTGGCCCAGGCCCAACATGTGGCCCTGAGGACACAGCCCGATCAATGACTTCTAGGTCCAAACACTTCAAAAGAGGTGACCCTGTCTTTGGCCTCCAGCTGGAGTCTGTGATCTTTTGGGACTGAGAAAGGGTAACAGTGTACAGAAGTGCTGGGGTCCCAGGGGGTGTCTATATCTTGGTGACATCACACAGTGTCCCTGTCACCTTCAATCACACCTGACAACAATAAACCACTGCAGTAAGCCGATCATTGCCTTTGAGGGCATTTGGATCCTGAAATCCTCTTCCTGTAGCAATGGCAATTACGCTAATGGATATGCCTGACCTTGACCAAGAACTCCGGGTGTGAATTCCACTCATGTTATCTGAGTCTCCCTTCGGGTGCAGTGCAGCTCACAGATGAGAAGGCTGAGGCTCAGAGAAGTAGCTTTTCAGAGGGTACACAGCTCATGAGCACACAGGGGTGCATTGGACTTTAACACTGCTCTTCAGCCTCCCGGTCTTCTCATCTGAGAAACAGCTGCTGCTGCTGCTGGCTGAGCAGAAGGTTTGGGACATGAAATGATGACAGCTCCTGGGACACAAACCTCAGCTGAGGTCTGGTCAGGCCTATGAGAACGGCCTTGAGTGTGCTGAGGTGCTCTGTGAGCCTCCCAGGGACTGTCCAGACTCCTAGCCTCCCATAGTGTCATTTCTAGGTCATGGTGGTGTTGACTGTGGCCTTCACGCAGGTGTGGCCGGCACCCGAGCAAGGTGTGCGGGGAGGTGGCCCCCAGGAGCAGGGAAGGATGCTGCTGATGTCAGCGGCCCTGTGCTTGTGCCTGGGGCCCTGGCTGGTTTGGTTTTTTAGCTGCTGCTGCATTGTTCGTGGGAATGTGTCTAGCTGTGTGAGGTGGGGGTGACTGTGGGGAGATGGTTCGTGAGTCAGACTTTGGAGACTTTGGAGAGACCATTCTCTCCTCCCCGCCCACCAGACCAGGGCTTATGCCCATCCTCAAAGGTCCAGGCCTGAGAGGCACCAGACTGCCTTTATCCTGGGCTGGGGGTGGCAAGGCGCTGGGATATCACCAAGAGGACACTCATTGGTCATGGAGTGCCCCCTGTGTGCCAGTGACCCATGAGGCACAGGTGACAGGGGACAAAGATAAGGTCTCATTTCTTCACTTGCCCAGGAGAGAGGGAGCAGGAAGGACAGAGGGAAAGTGGCAAGAGAAAGGAATGGGGTGGAGATGGGCTGGGAAAGATGAGCTTGGAGCCGCAGATGTGTTTGGGTCTGAGGTTCTGCTGGTGGGTACAGGGGAAAGCAGAAGGTGGGGGAGTCTGTGCTCAGCTGGCTGGATCCCTGGTCAAGGAGGAACCATGTCCCACCTCTCAGGCTGTCAGCTGTGGGTGAGACGGAGCTGGGAAGTGGGGACCAGGAATCAACCCCCAACTCTGCCCTTATCCACCATGTGATGTTGGACAAGTGACCTCACCCACCTGAATCTCCACTTTCTTATCTGTCACACGGGATCTTCAGCCTCAGAGCTGATGCACAGATCACACAAGAAGCGGACAGCAGCGCTCTGTAGAGCTGTGCCGAGACCATTACTCCTATGCGCTGCCCAGGGGGGTGCATGGCTCACGCAGGTCCTCCCGCACCCCAAGGAGCAAGGGGTCTCAGGGCAGACGATTACCTTCTCTGAGCTTGCAGAAGCTCACCTCTCCCGGGGACAGAGGGGCTAGAGCTGAATGAGCAGAGACCAGGATGCCCCAGGGACCAGCTCTTCCTCCCTGCCTGCCCCTGGCTGACATCCTCTCTCCTCTCAGGGAGTGACCATCGCTACATGAACAACTACTCCAACAGCTTCACGAGTGAGTGGGGCGCGCCAGACACCATGAAGAGATACTCCATGTACCTCACGCCCAAGGGTAAGGCTTGCCCCCTGCTCTGGGGACCTGTGGTCCATACACACTCCTCTTGGGTGGAGCGTCTGTCTGTGTTTGCCAGGAGAATCCCAGCATGCACTGTCTTCTGGTGTAATTATTAATAGCACCTCCTTTTGCTCTCAGAAGCCTCTGGTTTGGCACCCCAATCTTCAGAGTCTTCCTCCCCTGTGATACAGGCTATTGCCTCCAGTTTACACCCTCCCTTCTCTGTGCTGGGGGAGGGTCCCCTGATTGTGGCCCCTGTCCACCAGGCCCTGGTTCCTTGGGTTAGTAAGGGTCCCTAGGCCTTGACCCTGTGGAGGGTGGGGGATCCTCCAGAGCATTCCACCATCCAAGGGCAGGGAGAGAGATAGCTGTTGTTTTTATGAATTTCCTTTCTACTCTCCTGGCATGTGGGGTGACGGCTTGGGTGGGGTACAGACCAGCACCTGCCTGTCCAAGCCCTGTAGGAAACTGTCACATTCTTTGGCACCAACAACAAACCACAACACCCGTTACATAAGGGTGGGTGTGCCAGATGTGCCAGTCCTCATGTAGGGGTGTAAGCATGGCTGTGTGGGGAGAGGGGATGGAGGAGAATTGGGTCTGGGGAGAAAGAAGACATGGGAGAAGGCACAGGGGGCTGGGAGGGGGAGCCCAGAGGCTCTGAGTATGATTCACACACACACACACACACACACACACACACACACACACACACACACATGCAGTGGGAAGGGTTTAAGGGATTTGGGAAGATGAGCTCAGTGAATAGGAACCTCCACCACCAGCGCCCCACCCAGGTGAAAACAACACCTGGGCTTCTGGGGAGGCAGCTGGAGGCCCAGGTCCCCCACCCCACATTCCTGCTGTGGGCCAGGCCCCGTGGACTCCTTTTTCCCTCCCAGACACAGCCCCTTGGTTCTGGTTCTGAGAGCATGAGGTGTACCCCAGCATCCTTCACCCTGACCAGAGCCCTCTGGCTCCCCCTAGGGTGAGGGCTGACTCTGACATGACCTTGAGTCCCCCACTGGCCCCTGTGTGGCTCCCCTGCTCTTGGAAGAAGGCACTGAGAGGGGACAGAGGAACAAGAGGGCGACAGTATAAACGTGACAAGGGGTGACTCTGAGAGGCAGGCCTGGTGCCTGGGGTGGTTGCTGCCCCTCGGTGTCCCTACCTGACAGACAGGACTGGAACTAAATGGTAGCATGGATTCCAGCTCTGTCACTGTGAGTCAGGCAGTGGCATTGTGGGCGGAAGGAACGGGTTCATCCGGTGTCCCTGGACGGCACCGGGGGCAGGAGGGGGAGGAAACCTGCCCTTTGGCAGCTCCCAGGCTCAGGGCAGAGGCAGGGAAGGCCCAAGAGAGTCAGCCAGGAGTTCAGGAAACAAGGCCGCCGAAGGGCCACCAGGCTTGGGTCTGGGACTTTGGGGTCAGTGCGAGGAGTCAATGGGACTTCCCAGGGAGGCCCCTGAAGAGGGGCAGCGCTCTCAGTAAACCAGTAGACAGCTGTGACAGACAGAGGGATGGCGGGCACAGCGTGTAGAGGGAAGGCCAGTAGGTGCTGGGCCAGGTGGGCGAGGCTGGGAGGGGCATATCTGGCAGGGCAGGAAAATGCTGAGGGAAGGACCTGGACACTCATGGGGAGCATGTTGTTCCTGTAAGTGGGGCGAGGATCCTGCCTCTGCCTTCTCCAGACTGGGTGAGAGCCAAGCAGGGGAGGGAGCACCTGTGCAGTGTGAATGCCCATCCCCGGGGGCGGGGGCACCTGAAAGAGGTTCATGTGTTAAACTCTTACTTGGCCAGTGCTCTGTCTTCCCGGGAAGCACTTCTTCCTCACAGCACCCCATCTCTGGGCCTCTGAGGTCTCCGACATGCAGGGGCTGATGGCAGGAGGGCAGTGCTGGCCTTTCAGGTCTTCAGAGGACCTTAAGGCCCCCAAGTAGGGCAATCTGAGTACACGCAAGACCCCTCTGCTCTTCGTGCAGTTACTGAAGTGCACTTCACTCTCCAAAATGTCCTAATTGGGGTGACTCAGTGACCCCCCCTGATTTTAGATCCAAGGGGGCTGGTGCAGTACTGGGGTCCAGGTGCTGTGGCAGACCCTGGGGACCATGTGGGGGCCAGGAATCTGTGTAACATCCCATTCAGATGCCATGGGCCCCTGAGTTGAGCTACACTCACCTTTCTGGGTGACGGCCCTTTTGCTTCACAGCTGGAGCCAGGTCTTCATACCAGCCAGCATCCCCCAACCGCCTCCAGAAGGAGATCAACCAGAAGAACTTCAACAACCTCTACGGCACCAAAGGTGGGCGAAGGCTCAGCTCCAGGCTGGGCAGGGCCTGTGTGGGCAGTGCAGGCAGGCACTGGGTGGTGACCAGGGCTAGGCTATGTGGACAGGGGAGCTGGACTCCTCAATGTGAGGTGACTGTGGGCAGGAGGAAGAGGTTGAGGGCCTGGAGATATGTGGGGGAGGGGCCCTGCTGATTTAAAGAATGTGTGAATGTATTACGCATGTGTGCGTGTATGCACATGTGTGTACGTGTGCCTGTGCATACTTGTGAGACATTGTTCCTCAGGCTGAGGGGAGGCAGCCAACATCCAGCCCCACTGGAAATCCCTGAGCCCATGTGCTCTTCCCCTGAAGAGTCAGGGGAACCTGGAACCTGAGGGTAGGTGTGGAGACCCCTCTCGGCAAGTATCAGGTCACAGACTCCCCGAGGTCCTTTCCTGATTTGTTTAACTTCTGCACTGAAAGTTGAAAAGAGGTTAAAACAGGCCAGTTTGGCCATAAGTGGAAAAGAGGGCGCCATGTGAAACAGGGCTGGGCCTGGAAATCTGGGCCCAGCCCAGATTTTGCTCTGGGGTGAGTGGGTGCCTTGGCCTTAAGATCCAGAAGAGGTAAAATGGGGGTACAGATGTGGCTTTCCTGGGGGGACAGCTGCCAAATTCTGAGTCCCCTCTGCCTGGTGCACTGGGCACTGCTGTGCTGTGGGCAGGGTCTTTGTTCCATAAGCCTCAGTTCTGGGAGGCCCTGGTCCCTTCCTAGGGGCACCTGGTATGTACCAGCCATGTGCAGGCCAGCTCCACCAGAACTCCTGCCTCAGGCATGGCTCCAGGAGCTGAGGAAAGAGTGTGGGGGTTTTCAGTGAGGACAAGACCCCCCTGAGATCTCGAGGGTCAGGAGCACCATGGTTCAGGACTGGATTCATACTTCCCCCACACAGCGGGACTGAGCTCCAGGTGGGGGCAGCTGCTGGGTCTGCCTTGTTGCTGCCATAACCCCAGGCCCAGATGGAGGAAGGGTGCAGGAAACATTTGCTGAAAGGCAGACGTGGAAAGCTGGATGAATAAACGGGCAAAGCGAAGGGCCCTGTGGGCCCTCAGAGCCCTGGGGGAGAGGCGCCTTGGGGGTTGGCTACAGAACCTTCCTTGAGCCCTGTGGGAGGGGATTTGCACCAGGCCAGAGGGCCTCCCTGGTCACCTCTGACCTGGAGCCTAAAGTAAGCCCCAGGCCTCTCACAGCAGCTGTGGAGATGCCCCAAGGACTCTGCTGTGGAGAGAGCTCGGCTAAGGAAGGCTCCCAACACACCAGACCTCCAGAGCGGTTGACATAGCTTGCATTATCTGTGGGAGCTCTGCAGTCCCTTGGGGACCCCTGTTGTCCCTCCCATGCCCTCCCCCAAGCCTCCTTTCCCTCTAGACTGCAGGGACTTACTGGGCCAACAGAATTTCAGGAGCTGTGACAGCTGCCCTGTCCCTAAGTTTTAGCTGAGTTTGTACTTATTTGTTCATTTGTTCATTCATCCATCAACCAGACAATGAGCACTTTCTAGGAACCACTCTTGGGGCCTGTCCTGGGGTGATGCCAGGCCAGGTGGACCCCCCTGTGCCTGTGGAGCCCAGGGGGGAGACAGATGATTACTGCTGCAATTACAACCTCTTCAGGGGAGAGGGAGGCCAGGGGTGCAGGGGATGCAGGGTGCCGGACTGAGGCACAGGCGGATGACATGGAGGTTGACTCTGAAGACCCAGCATGTGAATTTGTTCTTGGAGGAGCAGGTGGGGTCTTCTAGAGAATCTGGTCTATGCAAAAAAGAGCCTGGGGCAAGAGAAAGCCTGGTGCGTATCAGGGAGTCAGTGCAGCCTGGCTGGAGTCAGTGATGCAGAGACTGGAGTGAGATAGTGGGACGGGTAGGGCAGCAGCTCCTGAAAGATCTTTGGGCCTTGTTAAAGGCCTTGTACCTTCATCTGAGGACAGAGGGTCTCGAGTTGGGACCAGAATGGCCTTTATAATTTAGCAGGACAACTTGGAGGCAGGAAGGATTGGTGAGAGGCATGATGTGGGGCGCAGTGGAATCCTGGCTTGAGAGGCAATGGGAACTGGAGTCACAGTCCTACCCTCCTCCCCAGGCCAGGAGGCCCAGGTCTGACGCCCCTGCCTTTGCTTCCCAGGTAACTACACCTCCCGCGTCTGGGAATACTCCTCCACCGTCCAGAGCTCTGAGGACATGCCCCCTGTCCAAGGCAACTCCTCCTTCTCCCTGAAAGGTGAGCTCTGCCCCACTGGTCCTGTGCATCCTCACCAATCCCAGCCCTGCCCCGGTGACTGCTGCTCCCCACCTTGTAGGGGACAGAGCAGGAGCCCTAGAGCCAGAGTTGCCTCCCTCCGCACCCCTGCTGTCAGCACAGGCTGGACCCAGGCACCAGCGCTTCTCAGGGCCCCCTCCCCATGCACCATTCCTAGGAGGTGCTGCCATGCCAGGCCTTGGTGCCAAGGTGGGGGCACATATTGCCCTCACACCCCCACCCAGGCTTGCCCTCACTCCCCCACCCAAACTTCCCCAGTCTGTGTCCCACAGGCTTCACGGCGAGTCTTCTTACTGCAGAGGCTTATTTTACTTTGCTCACCAGTGACTCCCAGCAGCAGGGATTCTAGAACCTTGTGGCCAGGCGGCACAGCAGCAGCTTACCAGAGTCCTGCTGAGCTCCGCTGGGAAAGAGGAGGGACTTCTGAGGCAACTCTCCTTCCAGAACTCTGAGAAGGCTGAGCAGTCAGTGACTCTTGTCCCCTGGGCTAGGGCGATCCTGAGAAGGAGGAGCCAGGACCTCAGCTCAGAGTGGGGCCCCCGGTCCTTTTGTCTCTTCTGGAAGGCCCCAGGGACAGCCTTAGCGGGAATGGGGGTAAGCCCAATTACCTTCTGGCAACCGACATCTGGCTTGGAAGAAAGGGGAAGTGGGCTGGGTGGGCCAGGGCAGTCAGCTGCGTGGGGCAGCAGGCTCCTGAGCCAGACCCTCTCCTCCAGCTGTTCGTTGCGGGCTGGGGTCACAGCCTATACTCAGGACAGGGGTTCTTGGAATGGACAGTGAGGGGAGAGAGAAGGGACTATGACTAGAGGGTCTTGGCCTGTAGAACCTCCAGGGAGGTCCTCTCCCAGAGGACTCGCCTTAGCTGGTCTGACTTCCAGTGGGTTCCTACCTGCTCGTTGGTCAAACCTGAATCACAGGCAGGGAAGGTTTGGAGCTCTCACACATCCTCGTGTCTCCCCATCATCTTGAACAGCCTCCCCTGTAGAAGATTTTGCCCTAAGAGGGCCCCTCCTCAGATGCCAGTCCCCACCCCCACTCCACCCCCAGGAACAGCCTAGAGATACTCACTGTCCTGCAGATGAGCTGGGGGCTGCTAGGACAAGTGGGGAGGGGTCTTCTGGGCAGGGGCTGCCTGTGTGCAAGGTCACCTCCCCCAAACCCTCTTGTCTCTGAAGACGGTCCCGACCTGCCCCAGGGCTGGGGGATGCAGAGCGCATGCCTGGAACTTTGGGAGAGGGCTGAGCAAGGAGGCACCTGTGAAGGTGTGACACCCTCTGGCCACTCCTGGGACCAGCACTGTGCTCCTAATGCCTCTCTCTCTCCCAGCAGGCCCTGGGAAAGTCCCCTATCAGTTCACCACCTTGGGACAGGCCACCACAGAATTTTCCAAACCATTGGACGTCAGTGGGCTGTTTAAAAATAATCCCGGTACCTGCCCGCTTTCCAACCTCCCCTTTTCTCTTCCACAGCTGGGCAGGTGGGACAGCCTCTGGGGCTCTCTGCCACTTCTAGGGTGTCCTGGTCCCTCCTCCCCAGAGTCTGCTGGAAGAGGGATGCATGCCTCCATCTCCAGCTTGCCCCCGCCCCGCCTTCTGCCTGCTGTAAGGCTGGTCTCCCCCACCACTGCCCCTCCCCATCTTCACCTCTCTCGAGGCGCATGGGCTCTTTCTGGGAACTGAGACGTGAGATCTGAATTACTTCTCTCTCACACTCCCACCTAGGACCCATGGAAGCTTCTCTGTCCCAGGCTGCCCCCTTCCCCAGGGCAAGGAGAGCCCCCATTCTCTGCTGTCTCTGCCCCCTTGCTAAGGGCCAGCCCCAGTCTGCACTGCAGGAGGTTTCTGGGCCTGTCCTGCTCCCCACCTCCGCCTTAGGGTCGGCCAGGCTAGGGTGGCAGGCTGCCTCAGCGTAGACCCTGCTGGCATTTCCTGAGCTCCCTGGTGTCCAGGGTACAGCCTGTTCTTCCCAGGCACTGTGTCCGTCCCTGTAGGCTGGCACTGAGCGTGCAGAGCACCAAGTGCTTCGCTTAGGAGGGGGTCTGGCAGCCCCCTTTTGGACTGGCATTTTAAGACCATGCCCACACAGCGCCCATTGCTTGCGTACATGCTCTGTGGTGCTCCTGGGCCCTCGGGTTTGCCACATGGCAAATGATCACCCCTCCCTGGGGCAGGGCCAGAGAACCATGCTGGTGGGTTCTGGAGTGCAGTAAAACCTGGGCTCAGTCCTGACTGCTGCTTGTTAGTCACGCAGCTTGGAGTGAACGTTAAGCTCATGGAAACAGGGTGAAAACTCAAAGAAGGTGTATGTCAAGTGCCAGCACAGCTTGGCAAAAGTGGGGAGCACCTTCCACTCGGCTTGGGGCATCCGGGCAGGTGGTGCTAAGGAACTGCTTTCTTGGGCTGCAGGGAGGGGAGGGCCACTGGTGGGAACCTTCAGGGTGTGTGTGGGGGGATTCCCTGCAAAGTTGAAACCCTGACCTGGATTTGGGGGTGACACTTCCCTGATGCCTAGCCCAGCCCCACTTGGTCTACTCCTCCTTCTGTCTGGCTTGGTGCCTCCTCCCCTTGGTCTTCTGCCCCAGGATTTTCCAGTGCAGCCCCCTGCAGGCTGCTGCAGGCCTTTTCAGGAGTGGCTGCACTTAGTAACGGGCTGGATGGAGTTTGGTGGCCACTTTGGAGATGGCATCTGTGCTGCTCCAGCCCCGGAGGTCCCTGCCAGCCCATGCTTTCTCTGACTAGAACTTTCATCTCCCAGGCTATCCCTCACTCCTCCGGAGCCAGAGCCCGAAGGCCCAGCCGCAGACTTGGAAGTCTGGCAAGCATACCATGTTGGTGAGTGAGGGGCTGCCAGCAGAGCCTGCCTGGGCACCAGCATGTCCAGGATGGGCACTGAATGAGTCCCAGGGGCATGCTCCTGGGCCAGTGGGTCCCAGGGTGGAGGGAGCAGGTGGCAGTGGCCTGAATTCCCTGTACACAGCGAAAGGTGGTGGCGACCCAGGGCTGACATGCAGGGGGACCTTCAGGGCCTCAGTTTTCCCATCTGTAAATGGGCAGCCCTGGTCTTTTGTTGGCAGATGGCCTCTGGGGACTATGCTTGTTGAATGACATCTTGGTCCTCGCCAGCTCTGGGAGCATAAAATACTTAGGCAGGGGATGGGCATTGGCTTCCCCTTGCTGGGGCCAGTTTTCCAGCTCTGACAGCATGGAGGCCATTGGGGTGAGGTCCGCAGAGCCTGCAGAGTTAAGAACAGATGCATTTAGGGTTCAATATCTAGTGACCCTAGGCTGGGGATGTTGAAGAACCTCACAAAAGGAAGGAGTAGTCTAGGGCTCCAGCCACCTGCCAGCTGCCACGTCCTGGGAGAGTGAGACCCCTCTTTGGGACTGTTCCTTCATTTTCATGATTTAGTGCTGGGGTGAGATGATCCCTGAGACCCTGTTGACCTAACAAGCCTGACCCCTGCCCTGGGCTGTCCTTCACGTGTGGGGTCTCCACCACCCCAAGTGCTCTTTTGCTGATAGTCAGGCCAGGCCTGGAATGTGGGTGGCACTGGGGGCTCTGCTGCCCACAGCCGTAGCTCTGGCCCCCCACTGTCTTTGCATTTGGAGGTCAGACCAGGGGGAGGTGATTGCTTCGGGCCACAGAGAATGACAGGGGGCTGGCTTAATTGGGAAGAATCTTTAATTTGCCAGCGATGGGAGCTAAGTGATTGTGTGTGTAATTTGGAGCTGAGCCCAGGGGCATTGCAATAGCAGGACTGCAAAGAGCAGATATGGGGGGACAAAAGGGTTTTGTCCCTGCACTTAGCCCTTCCCCCTCTCTACCTGCTTTTCAGGGCCCTAGCAGAAAAGTCTCATCGCTACCTGAGACCCCTGCCTAGACAGGGTGCCTGTGCCCCTCAAGCTGGGAAAATGGAGGCAGGGGCTAGTGGGCACAAATGGTGGGGGTCAGGGGAAGATGTGCTGGGGGCCAGGATGCCTGGAATCTGGCCCCCACTTGCCCCCCACTGGCTGTGTGACCTCATGTGAGTCTTCCTCCGTGCCTCAGTTTCCCCATTGGTGATATGAATCAGATGGCATGGATGACTTTACAGCCTTCCAGCTCTTCCAAGGGGCTGTGACCCTGAGCCAGGGAGGGAACTGGGGGATGGGGTGCACCTACCAGTTGCCAGGAGTCTCTTTCCTCTTACCCACCTCTCCGGGCTCCTAAGAGGACGACACCATTTCCTGATCTGTGATAGATTTTATTGACCTAGCCTCCCTGAAGAAAGGCTCCTGGCATTGCCAGGTCTGTTCCCTTTGCCTTATTCACCGCTCTGGGGTCCAGGCTGGCACTGGGGTCAGGAGACCTGGTGTCGAGACCCAGTTTGCTACTGAGTAGTTGTGTGACTTTGGCAGCCTTCCCGCGCCCTGGTCTCTGTCTCTTCCTTTGGTTAATAGATGGTTTAGCCAAAGTCTGAACTAAGGATTCTCAGCCCTGGCATTCCACACCCCTGAGTGCTGCTCAGGGCCAGACCTAGCAAGGAGCTTCCAGTAGATGCACAGAAGCATCTTTCAGTAGATCCAGGCGGGCAAGGCCAAGGGCAGAGGGTGGGACACCCTGGGTGTCTCTGGTGCTGGGTCAGGGCATGTGAGGTGGGAGGGGCAGCCCCTCCCTGAGGCCCCCTGGGGGCTGGCCTTAGACACTGCTCCTGCCTTCTAGGGGAGGGCGCGCTCTCAGGGCCCTGCCGAGGTGTCGGGCAGAGAGCAGAGCACTGATGTCCTGAAGTGACTCCGGCAGAAACACACAGAGCTGGTGGGAAACTTGTCACGGGCTCTGTTCCGGGAAGCTCCCTGCATCCTGATGAGGACCAGGATGAGGCTGGAGAAGGGGTCGGGGTTGGAGTGGGCCATGCGTAAGGCTGTTCTGGGGTGGTGGCGTGACCTTTCTGCACCACCTCCCCATCAGGAGAGTCACGCAGAAAAAGCAGAAGCAAGCCTGAAACCCTCGAGACTGAAGTGATGGGAGGTGTGTGTGAGGGCCGGGGGTTTGAACTCTGGGACCAGACTGCCGGGGTTCAGATCCCAGCAGCCATGGGCAAGTTGCTCTGTGCTTTCATTTGTTCATCTATAAATGGGGATGATCATAGTAACTGGGTGAAGGTGGGAACTCAGGGAGCCTGTCTGCGTAAAGCCCCCGGGATGGCAGAGTGGCAGAGTGGCAGAGCATTCCACCAATGGGCGCTGCTGGGAGGCCTTCCTGGGACTGGGAGAGGAAGTTTGATGAGGGACTAAGGTTCTAGCTCATCCACCTGTTGCCATTACCGGGGCTGCCCTCTAATCAGGATGTAACCCTGGAGACTGACGACATTGGTCCCCACCCCGTCACAGGGTAGGTAGGGCTTGCAGGGAGGGCTCAGGTCCCCAATGTTGCTGGGGGTTCAGGCCACTGCCGCTTCCCAGGAGAGGTTAGGATAGCCTGGGTCTGGCTCCTTGGTGCCCCTGCTAACTCCTCTTGTTTCCCCCGCAGTCTCACTACCGGCCATTCTACGTCAACAAAGGCAATGGGATTGGATCCAACGAGGCGCCATGAGTTCCAGACAGGCAGATTTGAGGGAGGCACTGCCAGCCCTGCCCCCACCCCAGCTGATCCTGCTGCTCTTGCCTTCTAAGCTACTGTTCTTATCTGGGTGGGAGGGGGCTGGCCCTGTGCCTCCCCCCAGCCTCTCCCTAGTGTCCTCATCAGCCACGCTCCATCCAGGCCTCTCTCCCACTGTGGCTTCTAATGACCCCCATCTCTCCTGTGCTCAGAGGTGGGCCATTCCAGGGGGCAGACAATGGGGCTTCTCCCCCCAGAACTGCCACCTTCTTCCCCTAGAGTGGCATCTTTGGGGTGGTAGTCTATGTCCATGGGCTTCAGCCCTGCTGTCCTCAGGCTTGTTGGCCATTTCCACAGTCCCTTGCCCTGTGACATGTCAATAGGTGCCTGGCCAAGACAGCTGCCCACCTCCCACCCTCCTAGGCCTCCTCCTTCCCTGCCCATCAGGAGAAGACTGGCCCTACCTGTGCCCAGCCTGGCAGAGCCCACAGCCCTGGGAGGCCAGGGGGAATCCCCAGCATCTTGGCATCCTCCTGCCAGCCTTGCGTGTCTCATCTGTTCTTGGCCTGGGGATAGTCCTCTCCTCCACCTGCTGAGATAAGTGATCCCCTCGCGGGATATCATCCACACCTGAAGGTAGCTGCTGGCCCAGCGGCTCTGGAGGAGGCTCATTTTCCTGCAGAACATCTCTAGTTTGGTCATTTGTGTCCTCCTGGGCAAGGGGAGTGAGGCTGGTGATAGCGTCCCTCGACTGGGATGTGCGAGGTTACGTACAAGGTGCCTTCCAGGTGCTCCCCACCCTCACCACGGCCCCTGTCCATCTTCTTCTTACCTCTCACTGCCCCCGACATTGCCTCATGGGGCTCAGGGCCTGGAGAGGAGACCAAACCAGGAGCAGCAAGGTGGGGTCAACCTCTCTCCCCGCAGCCCTATCCCTGGGCCTATGGGGGCAGCTTTTGGGAGTCGGGACATTCAGCCTGGGCTTCCCCCCATCAATAAACCATGGATCACCCACTTCTTTTGAATCAAACAAGTGCTTCCCTGAGGTCGCTAGAGGGTCCAGCTGCAGTCTGCACATATCTGCCCCCCCAGCACGCCGTCTGAGAGTGTGTCCTCTTCCTTCCAGAAGATGTGGCTCCTGTAGGTCTCTCTCCCCACCCCCCCATCTGAGTCCTGGGGTGCAGGGCAGCAGACCGATCTTTTTGAGGCAGACTGTAGAGGCAGGAATGGACACTGTGCAGGTTTTCCCTCAGTGACTTTTCAGGTTTTTACTGGGATTTACCAGGTACACAGCAGGCAGGGGTGCTGGGGGGCCAGAAGGCTGGCAGACCTCCCAACCTCCAGCAAGTCTTCACTCTATCTGGGCTTTCTGGCGTTCTCTCAGGTTCTCTCTGCTTCTCTGCTCTCCTGCTTCTCTGCTTCTTTCTCGGCTTCTGCTGGCATCCCCATGATGCTGCCCTTGAAAGCCCAGGTGAATCCCATCTACCTATGCCCACATGCTACTCCAGGTGCCCGCCATCAGGCATGCATTCAGGACCGCAGGGTTCCCTCATCTATCCTAATGGCGGGAGGGCAGAAAAGCCTGATACCTTTTACCTTACCCTACACAGACCTTGGGTGACAATGAGCAGAAGGGAGTTGGCAAGGTGGGGTCAGGAAGGCACTGAGCACCCAGAGGGTCTGTGTGTGTCCAGACCCCCTGGAGTCCCCAAAGGGAAGTAGGACTGGGAGTGGAGTGGAGACCCAAAGGTCTCAGACCTAGGGCTGCTCAGCAGTGGTCAGGGCTTCCTGCTAGGGGAACCCCCAGCTGAGGTCAGCAGGTTAGCTGAGCTCCTGAGGCAGCGCCCTCTTGGGCCTGTGGAACAAAGGAAGCAAATGAGGCCCTCAGTCCCTGTGAGCCCTGGAGGGGTGGTCAGAGAAGGCTTCCTGGAAGAAGCCAACAAGACAGAAGGAAGCATGACTTGTACAGTGGGAAAGAGGGTATGAAAACCATACCCTTTTCTCAGGTGTGGCTACGTCCCCCAGACCTCTCCTTTCCTGCAGTTTCTCCTTGCTCTGCTCCCCCTCAGGACAACAGCCCCACCCCACTCTGCTTCCTTCTCCACCCCTCAAAAAGAGCTGGCTGCTGTCCGTCATGGTGCTCCACCCTCTTCCTCCTCATCCAACTGGGCCAGGGAGCTTTAGGATTCCATCCAGCTGCCCAGCTTCCCAGGGTGGGAGGAGGGAGGGAAAAACAGGTAAAAGAAGGAGGCCACAGGCACCCAGAGGCCCACCTGTGGTGCCCAGAAGGGATAGGAGGGGGAGACACGAGAGGCGGGCACGGGACCCGTGCATCTGTGGAGGACCATCAAGCGCTGTGGGGAAGGAAGGAGTAGGGCCTCACATTCTGCCACCTCAATGCCCCTGGGAGCTGGCAGCCGGTGTCCCTGTGTGGCTGCTGCTGCTGCCCCCAGTCCCATGTCCCTCCCCCCAGCAGGCCCACCTGTGGCGCCCAGTGCCCTGCAGCCTCCCCGACTTCTAGGACCCACCATCCTGTGGCCCTGATGCTGTCCCAGGCTCCAGGGAGGCCCAAATTCTCTGAGAAAAACCCTGGCTCTCCATATTTGGGGCCCTCCGCAAGCCCGCCAGCTGCAGAGGGGAAGAGATGCACAGGGATGCAGGTTGATTGAGATCCTCCAGCTGAAAGCGCTGGGGACGGCTGAGTGTCCTTGACCCTGGGCCTCGTCTGCTGGACTCATGAGCCGCAGCTGCCCCCTGCAGCACGGAGGTGGCAAGGTGGGGAGAGAGGAGGGCAGCAGTATTGGTGGGGTGTCTTCAGGAGCCTGGGGAGAGACATCCCCCACCCGGAACATCGCACCCCATTCATGCCCACCAGTTCCATTATTGCAGAGCTGTGATTATAAAGCAATCAGGGGAATCCTTTCTTCCCACTTCATGAGAATGCCTCCCTCCTCAGCAGGCGTAAAAACATCAGGACATTTGCAGGCCCCAAGTGGCTCAGAGGGAGGGAGGCGGCTCTCCCTAGAACAGGCAGAAAGGGAAGATGCAAAAACCCATTTTCTACTCTTGTTCCTGTAGTGCCCAGCAAAGTCCTGGTCTGTGCTCTCCTGTGTCCTGGGCTTATCACCCCTGGACTGTGGGTGCTGTGGGTACCCCACTGGCTAATGGGGGAGGACCCACTAGGATCTGAGCTGGAGGAGGAGGGAGGCAGCAGGGAGACGTCCAGAGTGTCCAGGGTTCTCTTCCTGATCTCACCCTTCCCGGCTGTGTGATCTGGCCAACGTGCCCGCCCTCTCTGGGCCTGACCTTCCCTACCTGCAAAAAGAGCTGTTTTCACTGGATCATTCCTGATGTCCTTTCCCAGCTTGGTAGTCTGTGTCATAAAGACCACAGCAAGGGTGGTTGGGAGGGACTGGAAAATTGAGCTGGGTCCCAGTTTGGGGCTCCATGACCAGGACTGGGTTGAGAGCCAGGTAAATTGGACTCCCAAATCCCCAGCCCCTTACCCAGCCCAGCTGCCCCACTGCACTCTGACCATCAGGGACTTGGGCCCTCATCCAAGGGGAAGTCTTGGGCTCCGGAAGTGTGTGAATTCTGTGCTGGGCCTGGATCTTCAGGACCCACCTGATTCCATGACAACAGGGATTGGTCAGCTTTGTTCTTCCGGAACATCACAGGTGTACGGGCAGGCCCTGGAGGCTAAGGGGCAGTTATCTGGTGGTTAGGTGATGGGACCAGAAAGGGGAGTTGAAGAACTCTCAGGGTATCTGGGATGTTTCATCGTGGGGGTGGGGGTGGGGCTGAGACATGGACTTCTAGTTTGGACAGGTGACAGGTGACTGTCCCACTCACCAGGTGTGACCTGCGGCAAGCTCCCCAGCCTGTAAGAAGGTAACAGCATCTTCAAAGGATCATTGGCAACAAAACAATGCGTGCAAGCACCTGAGTAGCACGTGTTCAATAATTGGGACATGATATTACTATTATTATTTCTGTTGAAACAATAACAGAAACAATGACATCTGACCTGAGGCCAAGCTTGATTTTCCTGTTCATTTTATTTATTTTTTAAAAAAGATTTATTTATTTATGCATATAAGAATTGGGCTACAGACCAGAGGTGTGTGCGGGGTGAGAGGATTCACCAGAGACAGGGCCGGGAGCAGAACAGGCAGACTGACGGAAATACACTGCTGAGGGGAGCAGCGGGTGAGACAGGAGAGGTCTGCTGTGCCATGTGGGTATCTCCCTGGCCGGGGATTGAACTCGTGCTGCAGTGGCTCCAGACAGCTTATAGTTTGTGTCTTAACCCCTTGTGCCACCCCTCCATGCTTGGGAGGGAGAGTCTCAGGCCTTGGAACCCCAACCTGGGCTCCCTGCAGTTCTGGAGCTTGACAGCAGGTGGCAGTATTTTACTGCAGTTAATGGGCACCAAGTCCCTCCACCAGGCCAAGAGTCAGAACTGGATCCACTGTCCTACCAAGAGGTGGAAGCTCCTTCCAGAAGTCCCTCTCTCCCGTCCTTCTGCATTAGCTAAATAGGCCTTGTGGTCCTAGGTGGTGGGATGTGTGGGGTCATGTGACTACAAGCTGACAGGCCCCTGGCTGAGCAGGACTGAGGGAATTGCTGCTCATCCCACCAGACCCAGTCCCCCCGGGCATGGGCATGGAGGCCGCGGGTGGTGGGTAGGGTTGGTGCCTCCAGAAGGACTCTGCTCTTTGGGCCCTCACTGCAACGGGGCAGGCTCGAGGGAGGGGCTGGGTGGGCACATCAGCTTCAGTTCTGCAGTCCCTGAAGGTCTGGGAGACTACAGAGCAGATCACCAAGTGAAGTGTGAGATGGAAAGAAACAGGGGTTCCTGACATCAAAGTGGGGAGGAAAATAGGGGGCTGCGGACTGAAAGGCCCCTTGGCTTTTGTCAATCTCCAATGTCCACCTAGATGCGGGGAAATTTGTACTTTTCTCCTGACTGACTGACTGTGTAGGGAGGTCAGAAGGAGACAAGTCTGGACCTGGGGGTTAACTGTCCAGAGGGGTGGGCACTTGGAAGCGGAGGTGTGGACCCTGCTTCTTCCAAACCAAACCCTCAACTCCCCTCCCAAGAGTGACCCACGCAGTTTCATCTTTCTGAGTATTGACTATTAAGTTTGAAAATGAACTGCTGTTCAGCCACATAAACAAGGGAGATAAATGCTAATTGCCGGGTGGCTGTGCCAGCTCCCGGTTCCTAATTCATCACCCTGCAAGACTGAGGCTAAGAAGAGGCACAGGGAAAGGGGTGAGTGGGGGCCAGGACTTTGGGAACCACTAGACCCTCTTGCATGAGGTTGTGCCAGTAGGTGGAGGAGCAGGTGGGAGGGCATCCAGCAGGTGGGAGGAGCCCCAGGGAGGTCAGGGAGCCAGGCGAGGGAGGAGGAGAGGTCTTTGGCTGGCTCAGGGTTCAAAAGAAATTAATCCCAAATGGACTGATAATTTGTTTCCCCCCACCTTCTAGTTGGCCTCGGGAGTACGCCAGTTTTCCCTGAGGTTGGTGCCATCTCATGGTAAGACTGACGGCCTGAGTGGCACCCTGCTGCAGGCGAGCCTGGCCGTGGAAGGCGGTGCCTAGGACAGTTGCTGTCACACGTAGGACTAGTGCTTATTTCCTGACATGCGTGGTTGCGGGTCTTCAGTGGCTTTGACGGGGACCTGCCTAGAACAAGGAACTGGACTAGATGACCCGGACACCAAGATGGTGTCCAAGGCGCTGGCCCAGGTGAGAGGGAGGCGCGCAGGTGTGTCCCGCAGAGGATTCCCGGGACACGGGCCTGGAAGGGCTTCTTGGAGGGGGGCAAATATTCATTCACCCCCAAATATTCATAGCATACCAAACTCAGGCATGGGGGACACTGGAGGACAGCTCACTGTTCTTTGCGGCACTTTGAGCTGCTGGGGAGGCAAAGGGAGGCGCCATCTGTGAGCTTGAGCTGATGTCGGCGGGATGCGTTGGGCAGAGAAGCACATGGGAAGGTGAGAGAAGGAAGGGAGGTGGGATCCTCTCAGGG